AAAAAAAAAAAATTTTTTTTTTTTTTTTTTTTTTTTTTTTTTTTTTTTTTTGAGAGGTTTTCACTATAGGGCGCGTGAGTTCACCAGAAAAACAGAGAGAGACATAGAGACAGAAAGTGAGAAATCACCCCCCCCGGGAGGATGGTTGCGCCGCAATCCCTTCTCCTCCATTCTCCTCTTGGGATCTTGGGCACGCGCACACACACGCACCCGGCGTGAGTTTTAAGCCACCCGGTGGTCCGGGATGCAAACCGCGGTCGACTATGTGGGAGTCCAGCGACATAGCCATTATGCTAACTGCTGGTTCCGAAAACTTTGTTTCTTCGTTTCTTCTAAGTGACTTGAAAGATGCACCACCTAAAATTGTAAGATATTTGAAAGCAAAATAAATTCTATGATAGCTTTCAGGGTTTATAGTATATGAGCATGATATTTTGGCAAAGATTATGATAATCAACCTTTAGATAAATCATAAGTCATGCTATAGTGATTTTATTTTTAAACAACTCTTCTGACCTATAATTAACATACCAAAGAATTTATTCGTTGGAAACTGTATAAATCAATTGTACATTCACAGAGTTGTGCAGCCATCACTACAGTCAGTAGTTAGTCAGCCATCACTACAGTCATCACCTCTACAAAAAATCCAGTACCCAGTAATAGTCACTCATCTTTCCCCAAATTCACCAGCCCTAGGAAACAACTGGTCTACTTTCTGTCTCTACTGGATATTTCATATAAACAGGATTGTATAATCTGTAGTCTTTTGAGTATGACTTCTACTTGGTAAAGTGTGTTCAAGGTGTATCCATGTTACAGCCTGTATCAATACTTCATTCTTTTTAACTGCCAAATTATATTCCATTATTTGGATATTATCATGTTTTATTTATCCATTCACTAATTAGTGGATATTTGGGTTGTTTCCTCCTTGTGTCTATTGAGAATAATGTTGCTTCAGACATTGACATACAAGCTTTTGTGTAGAAATATGTTTTATTTCTCTTGGGTATAAAGGAATGACATTTCTGGGTCATATGGTATTATTATTGAGGAACTGCCATACTGTTTTCTATAGTGATTGCATCATTTTAAATTTAAATTAACAAGGCAGGAGAGTGGGGTTCCTTTCTCTCCATAGTCTCTCCCACACTTGTTATTATCTGATTTTTATTTATTTATTTTTATTATTATAGAAATTCTAGTGGTACGGGTGTTAGCTAATTGTAATTTCAATTTGCATTTTCCTAATGATATTGAACATCATTCCACATGCTTATTGAACATTTGTATGTTTGTATATATTTTTTGGAGAAATGCCTATTCAGAACCTGTGCCCATTTTTTGTTTGTTTGTTTAATTGCTAGTGGATGTGTGTGCTTACCAGAGAGAAAGAGAAAGCCCTCCTTTATGGATCAGGGTCATACTGCAATTCTCTTTCCTCCAGTTCTCCATTTTATCAGGATTTTGCCTTTCCCATTTTAATTGATTTGTCTTTTTATTGAGTTGTGAGAATTCTATATATATTCTAGATAAAAGTTTTGTATTAGATATATGATTTATAAATATTTTCACCATCCTGTGGGTGGTCTTTTCACTATCTAGATGGTGTCTTTTTTTTTTTTGGAGAGGTTTTGCTATAGGGCGCATGTGCTCCCCAGAAAGACGTAGAGAGACAGAGAGACAGAAAGCAAGAAATCACCTCCTGGGGGGATGGCCATACTGCAATCCCTTCTCCTCTTGGGATCTTGGGCATGCCCTCACATGCACCCCATGTGAGTTTAAGCCACTGGGTCCGGGACTTGAACCGCTGTCTACTACATGAGAGTCCAGTAACGTAGACATTATGCCATCTGCTGGTCCCCCTTGATGGTGTCTTTTGAGGCATATAATTTTGGTAAAACCCAATTTATGTATTTTTATTTTGTTGCTCATGCTTTTTTTGTATCTATGAAACCATTGCCTAAGCCAAGGTTAAGATTTATTCCTAAGTTTTCTCTAAGACTTATAGTTTTTGCTCTGATGTTTGGGTCTATGATACATTTAGAGTTTTATGTGTAGTCTACAGAAGGTATGCTTTATTCTTTTGCATGCGGAAATCAATAGTCACAAGACCATTTGTCAAAAAATTTTTTCTTTCTCTATTGACTAGACCTGCACCCTTGTAAAAAATTATTTTATCATAAATGTGAAGATTTATATCTGGGCCTTATATTTCATTGATCCTTATTGCTTTCCATGGGCTAGTACTATACTGTCTTGAGGATTATAACTTTTTAGTGAGTTTCGAAGTCAAGAAGTCTTCCAGCTTTGTTCATTTTCACAATTTTTTTTTTTTGTGGTCATTGTGGTTGTCTTGCCTTTCTGTACAAATTTTAGGATTAGCTTGTCAATTTCTGCACAAAAGAGCTGTGTCATTAATATGATTATATTAAATCTGAAGAAAAAATTAAACAGCCTTGCTCTCCTTTTTTCTTAAGAAGTTTTTACCTTAGGGCACATGTGTTCACTGGGGAGAGAGTGAGATTCAGACAGACAGACTGAGAGACATAGACAGAGAAAGGGAAAGTGAGAAATCAGCCCCCAGGAGGATGGCCATGCCACAATCCCTTCTCCTCCATTCTCTGCCTGGATCTAGAGCACACACGCACACATGCCCAGTTGAGTTTCAAGCCACTGGGTCCGGGACTTTAACTGTGGTTGGTCATTTGGGAGTCCAGTGACATAATTGCTACCCCATTGCTGGCCCCTATTTAGCCCTTTTAAAATTTCTTTCAACAGTGTTTTGTAGTTTTAAGAGTCCAAATTTTGTATTTCTTTTGTTAAATTTATTCCTAAATGTTTTATTCTTTTATTTTTGATGCTTTTATAAATAGAACTGTTTTCTGATTTCATTTTTGGATTGACCATTGCTGCTGTATATTAAGTTGTTGGGAATGTCATGATGTATTTTTTTCGTGTTCTTCTGTGCAAAAATGTGTCATAACTTTCCCAACAACCCAGTAGAAGTATAATTGATTTTTGTATATTGGTCTTGTATTCTGTAATATACCTAAACTCATTTTTTTGTTCTAATAGTTTTTTTTTATTATTTCCCATAGGATTTTCTGTGTACAAGATGGTCATCTGCAAATAAAAATACTTTTATATTTTCCTTTCCCATATGAATGTCTTACTTATTTCATTGTAATCTAATATTGAATAGATGTCAACAACACTGTGAACGTTCTCATCTTGTTTTTCATCTTTAGACAGAAGTATTTGTTTGTAGTGACCTTTTTAACACTGAAAAGAAAGGGCAATGCCTTTGCTTTGAAGACTTAATTCTTTTTGATTTAAGATTTTTTCCTTCTGTTTATGTGTGCAGATATGTGCTGATTAAAAGGCTCGCTTGTGCAGTGTGGACGATAAGCAGTGCCTTACAAAAATGGGGTTTGGGAGTGACCTGAAGAATTCACATGAAGCTGTGTTAAAATTGCAAGACTGGGAATTGCGGTTACTGGAAACAGTGAAGAAATTTATGGCCCTGAGAATAAAAAGTGATAAAGAATATGCATCTACGTTACAGAACCTTTGTAATCAAGTTGATAAAGAAAGTACTGTCCAAATGAATTATGTCAGCAATGTATCCAAGGTAAGAAGGACAGTTTCCCCATTTGTTATGTGCAGCATCACAACTGTGCGTAAAGCGATTGATCATGCTAGTGAATGAACATGCACGAATCAGCATTCTAAGGCAGTTGTTTCAAAATTTTGCTGAGTATTAGAATTCCTGGGGATAATTTTAAAAATTATAAAATTTAGGGCTCTATTTCCCAGATATGCTGATTCAGTAGATCTAAGGAGAGGCTTTGAAATCTTTTTTTAAAAAAGTAATGTCTAGGGCCAGTGCTCTGCAGTGCTGGACGTGCCTGGGAGTGTCTGGACTTTGTGTCCCAGAGGACTCCCCATGCCTGTCTGACAGGTGCATTCATGATGGCTGAGCCTGAGGGTGGTTACAGTGTGGGGACCCTCTTGGGGGCCTGTATATCTTTCTCATTTCTGTCTCTGTCCCTCTTATGGAGGGGGAAAAAGGATGTCTAGGTATTCTCACGATAGTCAGGTTTGAGAGCCATTATTGCTCATGTTGATTTCTTTTATTATTCTCCCTGCTTGGGGCTTACATCAACTCTGCTGCTTTGGTTTCTATTTTTGATTTTTTTTTTAAGAGAGATTTTTCATGTAGGGCATGTGCACTCGCTAGAGAGAGAGAGAGAGAGAGAGACAGACAGACAGACAGAAAGTGAGAAATCACCCCTTGGGGGGATAGCCATGCTATAATCCCTTATCTTCCACTCTCTTCTCAGGGTTTTGGGCACACATGGATGCACATGTGCCTGGCATGAATTTTAAGCCTCTAGATCCAGGACTTGACCATGATCAACTCTGTGGGAGTCCAGTGACGTAACCATTATGCCATCTGCTGGTCCTGATTTTTATTTTTTAATATAAATTTTTATTATAAGCCACCTTCCTGAATTCTTCTGTGAATCATTAATGTCATAAATCTTATGGAATAGTTTAACATGTAGCTGTTGTCTGCTATCATTTCATGACTAAAATAATAGTGTACTGATGTGTTAGTCTTAAGACAAATCCATTGGATAAACATGATTTTTTTTTATCTCCAAGACTATTCAGTCATATAAAAATTAGGTTATATCTTGTTATTTGAAAACATTAAAGATGAAATATTAAATACCTTAACAGTTCTTGGAGTTTTACTTAAATATCACATTTTACAGTATTTATTAAGGGCCAAAAATAAACTTTACCCAGGGCCAGCAGGTGGCATGGTGGTTAAAGCACTGGGCTCCCACCTGGCTGACTGCAGTTCAAGTCCAAGACCTGGCCACTTGAAAAATCATGCTGGGTGTATGTCATGCATGCACCGAATCCCAGGAAGAGACTAGAGGAGAAAGGATTGTTGCATGGCCAATCCTCTTGAAGGTGATTTCTCACTTTCCCTCTCCCTGTCTCTCTCTAGCAAGCACACTCACCTATGGCAAAAGAACCATACACATACACACATAAAGTAAGTAAGCAAAGAAATAAAATGTACTTTTTTTTACTTTGGGAAGTTTAAAAATTATTGTTTCTTTCACTTATGGGCCTTAGGATATGAGCAGATTGTACGGGAAATCTGCTGGGGAATATGTGTGCACGGTGTGGTTGATCAGGGAACGATCTATGATTTTTGTTGAGAGCCCCTTCCTTCTCTTCCCTTTCCTTGGCCCAGTCAGGTTTCCCAAAGAGGAATTTTCTGCTCTCTAGTCTGAAGGTAGGGCTGCCTAATACAGCAAATAAAAATGTAGGACACTAGTTAACTTTTCATGCAAATTTGGGACAAATATAGACTAAAATTTTATTTTTTATTTGAAATTTAAGTAATATAGTATGGTATCTTGTATTTTATTTGGTGAACCAATCTGTGGGTATAAGCCTGCCATTATTTTAATGGAAATAGATAGGAAAAGTTTTTTTTTCTTTTTTTTTTTTTTTTAATCTTTCATGAGAGACAGAGGTAGAGACAGAGACAGGGAGGGAGAAAGAGGCAGAGATGAAGATAGGGAGAGAGAAAGAGAAGGACAGGCTCCCTCAAGAGAGTGTCTCACTCTGTGATCATCCCTACAAACCTCTCAGCCAGCCGGTATCTTGAGGCACACACGTGGCCTCATGTGTGGAGGTCAGCCCAGGAATTGAAGCCAGTGGATTCAGTGGCATGGAGTGGTGTGACTGCTGACTACCAGGGCTGGACCAGGTTTCTTTTTAAAATTTACTATTGGGTATGTTCTGTCACTGGAGAGAGACAGAGAAACCGAGAAAGAGAGAAAGCACCCCCTGGGAGGATGGCCATGCTGCAGTCCCTTCTCCGTTCTCCTCTTGGGAGAGTAGGCACACGTACTCCCAGCGTGTATTCACGCCAGGGCGTCTGGCACTTGAACTGTGCAGTCACCTTGACCACCACGTGACCAGCTTGCCCAGCTGGGTATCGCCATTACACTAACTGCTGGTTCCCCAGCTGGGTATCTTAAGCCTCGTATTTTACGGCTGCTCCTGTGTTGGTGAGCTGCGTAGTGTCCGTGTCCAAAGGCTCTTGTTTCTCTCGTGTCCTCCCGCAGTGGGAAGGTGGTCTGTCTGTGTGGGCTGAGCTACAGCAACTGCGGTTCCACCTGCTTCTGCGTCGGCCTTCTTTCAGCACCCCTTTCTCTTCCTGTGTTTGTTCTGGGTGTTTCCAGTTTCTGAAATTTAGTGGAGTCGTCTGATCCCGTAAATGTGGACCCTCTCCCCCTTCCCAGGATGCTCGTGTCAGCTGTTCCTCATACGCTGAGTAGTTTCCATTTACCTGCTTTTCATTTCCTTACGTTCTATTGACATATGTATTGACATTGTTACAATTTTAGTATTTTGTTTAAAATGAGTTATGAGTTTATACTTTAACTGTATTGTATTTTATTGAGGTTGTAGGAGGAAGGGAGAAATATGCTTTATTTATTTTGCTTACCTGGAATTATACTTTTTAAAATATAGTCGTTAAAGGAATGAGAAATAGGATTAACAGGTGGGAGTACGGGGTTTTGAGGTCGGGGCAGCGGAGGAATCACCAGTGTGGATACTGGAGTGTCGAGTATTTTGGTGAGGAAGGAAGAGAGACGAGTGCTGGAATAATCAGGAAGGCAGGAGAGCGTTTGGGGTGAGGATGGCAGCTAGGGAAGGGTAATGACAATTGGGCGGGAGTGGGTTAAGTGGGTCGTGCAGCCCTCCAAAAGGACATTTTGAGAATTAACAGTTGAACAATAGTTGGGAACCAAAGAAAATCAAGGCGTATGTCAGCTTTCCCCTTAAAACTGAAAAGCTATCGTTTATTCTACCCGTAAATAAAGTTCGGCTTTTCAGTATTTTCTTTAGATAATTGTTTTTCGCAAGTTTATCTATATCCTGAGAGAGAGAGAGAGAGAGAGAGAGAGACAAAGACTCTGAACAGAGAGAGAGAGAGACAGAGACAGAGACAGAGACTCTGAACAGGGGCCCCGTATCATGATGCACCCTCGGTCTCAGCAGGCCCAGATCATGGGCTTGCTTACATGCTCAGGGAGATTCTAGGATTTGAACCCAGCCAGGACGTTTTCCATGTGAGCCTAGTTATATTACCACTGAGCCACCATCTGGCATCCTAGAAAATTGTCCTTTTGTTGTATCTGAAAAAAAATCTTTCCCTGACCCAAAGTTTTGAAGAGTTTCTTCTATATTTTCATTTTAGTTCATTTTTGTTTATGGGGTTAGATAAATTGCCCCCCCCCCCCCACACACACACACAAAGGAGTGTCCGTTTGTTTCTGGGCCATTTGTTGAAAAGACAGCTTTCTCCATTGTATTGCCTTTGTATTGCTGTATAAAAATCAGTTGACTATAATGAGTGTCTGTTTCAGTACTTTTTATTCTGTTCCATTCATATTTTTGACTTAAGACATCAGTAATATGTTGTCCTGGTTATTGCTCCATGAGAGTAATCTCAGTCAGGCAGTTCCTCAAGCTTTATTTTTTTCCAGAATTTTTTCGAATATTTAATTCCTTTGAATCATTATATGAATTTAGAAACAACTTGTCAATTTCTATAACAACAGACTACTGGGATTTTTTATTGGAACTGTATTAAATATTCAGGTAAATTTGGAAAAAAAAAGTATATCTTAGCAATATCGGGCCATCCAAGTCAGTAAACATAATATATATCTTTTACTTTTTATGACCAGTGTTTTGCTTTTTGTTTAATTTTTTTTATGTGCCAGAGGGCACATATACTTGCCAGAGACAGAGACAGAGAGAGAGAAAGCAAGAGCATGGGAGAGAGTAAGAAAGCACCCCCGCTAAGAGGGATGGCCACGTTGCATCTCTTTCCCCTCCATCTCTCCTTTCAGGGTTTTGGGCATGCACTCTTATGTGCCTGGCATAGCTTTAAAGCCGTCAGGTCTGGGACTCTAGCCATGCATTCAACCATGTGGGATCCAGCGGCCTTAACCACCGTGCCACTGCTGGTGCCTGAGCAAGGTTTTACAGTTTTTAGCACATAGGCATTAGATTTATGTAACAGGTTGTTGGAAGAGTTATGACACAATTTTGCATAGAAACAGAAAAGTTTGTCATGACTTTTCCAACTACCCAATATAAATTATTATTTTATATTTTTGTAAATGATATTTTTTCCCTAAATTTCGGTTTCCAATTGTTTATTGGTATTATGTATATTGACCTTACAACCTCAACTTCGAGAAATGTACCTATTTGTAGCTTTTTTGTAGTGTCTGTTGATCATGTTACCTGTAAACAAAGACAGTTTTCCTTATTTTCCAATCTGAATGTCTTTTATTTATTCTTACCTTTGCATTGACTAGAACTACCACCACAAAGTTGGGTATAAGTACTGACAGCAAACCTCTGATTTTAGGGTAAAAGAATATAGTCCTTTGTGATTAAATATGATGTTAGCTTTTTTTTTTTTAAAGATACCTTTTATAAACTTACAGAAACTCCCTTCTATTCTTACTTAGCTGATTCTTTTTTCTTCATAAATTGATGTTTTTTATTTTTAATGTT